GAAAGAAGGCCAAAAAAAAAAAAGTTATTAAAAGAATAAATAAATAAAATCAAAGAAAGACAAACACAATGGCAAATACAGATGTTAACATATCAATATTAACTCTAAATGTAAATGGACTAAACTCTTCAATAAAAAGACACAGAGTTGCAGCCTGGATTAAGAAACAAAACCCAACCTTTTGCTGTCTCCAGGAAACACATTTAGCTACAAAAGATAAAAATAGGCTCAAAGTTAAAGGATGGAAAACAATCCTACAAGCAAATGGACCAAAAAAGAAAGCAGGAACAGCTATACTTATATCAGATAAAACAGACTTCAAACTCAAAAAGATAAAAAGAGACCCCAATGGTCACTACATTATGATCAAGGGGACAATACTTCAAGAAGAAATAACACTCATTAACATATACTCACCAAACGAAGGAGCACCAAAATATATCAGACAACTGTTGTCCTCTCTGAAAACAGACATCAGAGAAAACACATACGTAGTGGGAGACTTCAACACACCACTATCAACAATGGATAGATCAACAAGACAAAAAATAAGTAAAGAAACCAAAGCTCTAAATAAGGACCTAGAGCAATTGGGCTTAACAGACATCTATAGAACACTAAACCCCAAAAAAACGGAGTACACATTTTTCTCAAGCGCACATGGATCATTCTCCAGGATCGATCACATACTGGGGAACAAGACAAACATCAACAGATACACCAAGATTGAAATCATATCAACCATCTTTTCTGACCATGAAGGCATCAAACTAGAAATAAACCATAAAAAGAAGGCAAGGAACTTTCCTACCTCATGGAGATTAAAAACCACACTACTGGAAGACCACTGGACTAATGAGGAGATGAAAGAAGAAATTAAAAAATTTTTTGAATTGAACGACAAGGAGGACACCAATATCCTAAATGTATGGGATGCAGCAAAAGCAGTAATAAGAGGAAAATATATAGCAATAGAAGCTCACATCAAGAAACAAGAAAGAACTCAAAGAAACAACCTAATCTCGAAGCTCAAAGATCTAGAAAAAGAACAACAAAAAAACCCCAAAACCAGTAGAAGAAAAGAAATAATAAAAACCAAGGCAGAAATAAATGAAATTGAAACTAAAAAAACAATCCAAAAGATCAATGAAACCAAGAGCTGGTTCTTTGAAAAAATCAATAAAATAGACAAACCCCTAGCCAGGCTCACAAAGGAAAAAAGGGAGAAAGCACAAATAAACAGGATCATCAATGAAAGAGGAGAAATCACAACGGACACAGCAGAAATCAAAAGAATAATCAGTAACTACTATGAACAGTTATATGGAAACAAGTTTAACAATATAGAGGAGATGGACAAATTCCTACAACTCTACAACCACCCAAAGCTAGATAAAGAAGAAATAGAACACCTAAACAGACCAATTACAATTAGCGAAATTGAAATGGTAATCAAAAACCTCCCCAAAAACAAAAGCCCAGGACCTGATGGATTTACAAATGAATTCTACCAAACATTCAGAGACGAATTAGTGCCTATCCTTCACAAACTCTTCCAAAAAATTGAGAAGGAAGGGACAATACCAAACACGTTCTATGAAGCCAACATTACACTAATACCAAAACCGAACAAGGACAACACAAAAAAGGAAAACTACAGGCCAATCTCCCTAATGAACACTGATGCAAAAATCCTCAATAAAATTTTAGCCATCAGAATCCAACAATGTATCCATAAGATAATTCACCACGACCAAGTAGGATTCATTCCAGGGACACAAGGATGGTTTAACATCCGAAAATCAATCAACATTATCCAACATATCAACAAAAAGAAATATAAAAACCATATGATAATATCAATAGATGCTGAGAAAGCTTTCGACAAAGTGCAACACCCATTCATGATAAAAGCCCTTGAAATTCTTGGGATACAAGGAACATACCTTAACATCATAAAGGCCATCTATGACAAGCCAACAGCCAGTATCATTCTCAATGGTGAAAAGCTGAAAGCAATTCCATTAAGATCTGGAACAAGACAAGGATGTCCACTCTCACCACTGCTTTTCAATATAATACTGGAAGTCCTAGCCAGGGCAATAAGACAAGAGAAAGACATCCAAGGAATCCAAATAGGAAAAGAAGAAGTCAAACTATCACTATTTGCAGATGATATGATATTATACATAGAGAACCCCAAAAACTCCACAGAAAAGCTAATTCAACTCATCAATCAGTTCAGTAAAGTGGCAGGATACAAAATCAACACGCAAAAGTCAGTAGCCTTCCTATACACAAACAATAAATCTGAAGAAGAAGAAATCAAAAAAAACATCCCTTTCGTTATTGAAACAAAAAAAATCAAATATTTGGGAATAAATCTAACAAAAGAGGTAAAGGACCTATACAAAGAAAACTATAAAACACTGTTAAAAGAAATAGAAGAAGACACAAAGAAATGGAGAGATATCCCCTGCTCATGGATTGGAAGAATAAACATTATTAAAATGGCCATCCTTCCAAAAGCAATATACAGATTCAATGCTATTCCAATCAAAATTTCAATGTCATTCTTCAAAGAAATAGAACAATTATTGATGAAATTCATATGGAATCACAAAAAACCCCGAATAGCCAAAGCTCTCCTGAAAAAAAAAAGAAGGGAATGGAGGCATCACACTCCCAGACTTCAAACTATACTACAAAGCCATAATCATCAAAACTGCATGGTATTGGAACAAGAACAGACATACAGACCAATGGAATCGAATAGAAAATCCAGAAATAAACCCACAGATTTATGGTCAACTAATCTTTGACAAAGGAGCAAAGACTATGCATTGGAGCAAAGAAAGTTTGTTCAATAAATGGTGCTGGGAAAACTGGGTCGCTACATGCAAAAGAATGAAGCTTGACCACTACCTCACACCATACACAAAAATCAACTCAAAATGGATTAAAGAATTAGACATAAGACCTGAAACCATAAAATATATAGAAGGAAATATAGGCAAAACACTACGTGATTTGCACATCAAAGACATCTTTACAGACACATCACCCAAAGCAGTGATAGTGAAGGCGAAGATAAACAGCTGGGACTACATCAAATTAAAGAGCTTCTGCACAGCAAAAGAGACAATAACAAAAACAAAGAGAAACCCCACCAACTGGGAGAACATTTTTACACCCAACACTAATGATAAAGGACTGATCACAAAAATCTGCAAAGAGCTGATGAGACTCAACAACAACAAAGAAAATAATCCAGTCAAAAAATGGGCAGAAGAGCTAAAAAGAAACTTCTCTGAAGAGGAAATGCAAATGGCCAACAGGCATATGAAAAAATGTTCAACATCACTTGTCATCAGGGAAATGCAAATCAAAACTACCATGAGATACCATCTTACTCCAGTGAGAATGGCACATATTAAAAAAACTAGCAACAACAAATGTTGGCGAGGGTGTGGAGAAAAAGGAACTCTTCTGCACTGTTGGTGGGAGTGCAAACTGGTCCAACCACTATGGAGAGCTGTGTGGAGATTTCTGGACCTACTAAACATAGAGCTTCCATATGATCCAGCAATTCCACTCCTAGGTAGTTACCCAAAGGACACAGAAACATCAATTCCAAAGAACACCTGCACCCCTATGTTTATAGCAGCACTGTTTACAATAGCTAAGCTTTGGAAACAACCCAAATGCCCAAAAAATAGATGACTGGATCAAGAAGATGTGGTACATATATACCATGGAATATTACTCAGCATTCAAAAAAGATAAACACATGCAATTTGCAGCAACATGGATGGCGCTGGAAGGGATCATGCTCAGCGAAATAAGCCAAAAAGAAAAAGAAAAATACCGGATGGTCTCACTCATAGCAGGAATCTAGAAAACTTAAATAAGGGACCAGGAAAATGAATAACTATAAGAAAGTGAAAATCAAAATCAACAAAAAACTATGAACCAGAGACACTTTTAGGGGGGCAGGGGCGGGAGGGGAGGGATTGGGTCAGAATGGGGGCGCTGCAATTGTATGGGGAATATAACAATAAAATTTATTATCTAATAAAAAAAAAAGCAGGAAAGATCACTTACACTTCTCACAGTTGAGATAAAGGCTCACATAAAACAATTTTTAGAGCATTTAGCAGTGACATACTCCACTTCTCTACTCTCCCATGTTCAGGACCAGGGATAGGATTAATTCAGGGCCATCTAGAATATAGGCTGTCCAAGTCAAACTGACTTCCTTTGTTAGTAAGACTGGGATCAGCCTTTGCTTTTTGTTTTGTTTTGTTACGTTTTGTTTTGTTTTGTTTGGGGGGGGCAAGGAGTAGAAATAAGATTTATTTGAGTTTTAGTCATACTAATTCATCATCTTGCCAGTGATAGTCTCTTTTTTTCTCTCTAAAATAAATATTTTTGTCAATTAAAGTATCAATGACAGGGCCTCCCTGGTGGCACAGGCGGTTGAGCGCTGTACTGAGAAGCTGTCCACAGCATCTGCAGCATGGGTACAATCTCAGCCAGCCGGGGAGAAACCCACATGGCAAGCAGACCTCTCCTGTCTCACACACTGCTCTCCTCAGCAGTGTATTTCGTCAGTCTGCCTGTTCTGTTCCCTGCTCTATCTCTGGTGAATCCTTTCACCCTCCCACACATCTGGTCTGTACCCCGTTCATGTATAAATAAAAATAAATCTTTAAAAAAATAAAGTATCAATGACAGATAATATAAGTTACATGACATGACATCATCAAATGCTTATCATTCTATTTTTTTTTTATTTTTAATATATTTTTTACATTGTTGTTCATTTTTAAACAATGATTTCTTGCCCCTTCCCCCTCAGGTGCAGTCCCCATAGAATTTCCCTTTGTTTTGACTTATCTTGGAGGGGCAAGTAAAAAAGACTCCCAAGAAGGGAGCTTTGTGGGGAAAGCTACTGGGAGAAGTAGAAGAGGCTAAGAAGCAATGAGTCCTTCCCTTACCTGGTCAAACAGCTGTTTCCCAGTGGTGTTGGGCTGGATGGCAAACTCCAGCTCTGCATCCATGGTGGTCACACGCACATTGATCTAGGATGAGATCAAAAGAGGCAAGTCAGTTGTCTGGCTTTGTGGCAGAGCCAAGGACAAATGTCTTTTCAATCATAAAGGAGGGAAGTAGGATGCTAAGGACCTGAGCAAGTTAGATATTGATGTGGAGGAAGGGAGAATACTGAAACAGCCAACCAACTCAGCCTTTGATCCCAACTAGCTTACTGATGATGATGATGATGATGATGATGATAAACCACAGCCACAGAGCAAGGGGCAAACAGACGGATACAAATCAGGATAATCTCAAAATAAAGTAAGTGTTTCCAGAAAGCCTTTCCCACCTATTTCAGCCAGCCTGAGTCCACAGCATTCTTCCAATTCTGATTTACAGCCTGGATTGTCTACAGTACTGGTCTCTGCTGAGGCATGTTAAGGGCAGGATAAAGAACACTGGGTTCCTAGCCTAGCACTGTAACTGGTTCAATCTACAGCCTTGGATAAGTCTTATTATTTTTCTAGCCCTTAGTTCCCCTCACATAAACAAGGGCAGGAATAGTGGGGAAGGGTGTTGGGAGAGTGCAATTACACTAGGTGATCACCAGGGGCCTTTTCAGTATTAACATCTATATTCTTATACACTGGCATGCATTGTTAATGCTTTCTGTATTTATGTTTCATTGGCCTCCCCAGGCACAAGAGAGGAAAGAGACCTTAGCAGAGGTAGGTATGAGTAGCATAGAGATGGATAGGCATAGACTCAGATGAAAATAACAGGAAGTCACATATAGTATTTCACAGGCACTTAAAAAGTATTCCCCACCTTTTCAAATAAATCCCCCTAACCTAGGTCAATGATAGCTGAAATTTCATCAGTAGAGATTTATTTGTTCCTTTGGTAAAAAACTTAATGGTGGTAATAGTAATAGCAACAACAAGCATCAGCTTTCATATATGGAGATTTACTACTCACTAGGTGTTTCATACATACTACCCCATTTATGATGAACAATCATTCCACACTGGGAATGACAAATAGATATTTTCCTAAAGTCACAACACTAGTAAGTGAGGAAGAGAGGGTTTTGGTTCTAAGTTTAAATCTCACAATTTAAACTAATGTTAAATATCTCTTGTTGAATATTTTTGTTTAAGTAACCTATAGTCTACAGTCATAAGATGGTTTATTATATGGTCATATAAAATATTCATGGAGACTACTTCATGTCCATGGACAATACTTCAGCAATATTAAGTAAGGAAGAGTAAACAACAATACTGTATGAGGCCAATTTTATAAGACTATATAGACAGATAATGGAAATCAAGTCCAAGTGTTAGTCAACCTAGGTTTGGGGGTAGCAGTATTATGACTTTTTTCTACTTTCTTTAAAAAAAAAATCTACATTTTCTAGGATGCTCACATACTACTTATACTATTGGGGGAAAGAGGATTTAAAAATAGAATAGTCAAAAATGCAAATCCCCATGGAGTGAAACGTTAAGTCTTATCAGTCTTTGACACCTCTGGACCTTTCCTGAGCACAGGGGTCAGTTAGGGGGGAAGAGGAGGCCAGACAACCATTTTGCCAGTTAAACAAGTCTGATGAGGACCAGGTCTGGGGAACAATTTTGTAAATAAATCTCACCAGGGAGCCAGGGAGGAAATCTATTTCAGGATTGACAATGGGACAGGAAAGGCCCTGAAAGCAGGAACAAGTAAGGCAAATACCCCAGTGGGAGACAACATGCAAGGCTATCCACCTTGACTCAGTGTTACCCTAGGCTTTCTGCCAATCCAGTGACCACCATAGAATGGGCCTTCATAAGGTAAGGAGAATGAAGCCTAATGGGCTGAAATTTGGTCTCAACATTTAGCCTCAAATCACTGTTGAGTAGAGTTGGAAAGACCTCAAAACACCATAGGGTATGAAAGAGTAGAAAAGGGACAGTGGGCCATTTTAGTAATTTAAACTTCATTCCCAACTCAAAGTTTCTGTCTAATTGAAATGTACCTCTCTAGTATCCACTCTATGGGTACTAAGAGGCTGCTGGCTAAGTGAACAGTACTAATCAGGGAATGAGAGAGAGAGAAAGAGAGAACACGAACACATAGTATATACATTCAGAAGTAGGCAGATTTTACATCTTGACCTTTGTTGTGCTTTGGACTGTTCTGGGTGTCTGGTGAAGTCTATGGACCCCTTCTCAAAATATTTGTAAATGTATGTAATAAAGTAGATGCAAAGAAACCACTTAGACTGAAATATTTATCAAAATTTAATTAAATGCACTTATTTATTATCATAGCAATGAATTACCTAGCACTATCACATCCAGTTATTATTACTATAATTTCAATTTTGCGTTGAACATAAATGATAGAGAAATCCACAATAACTAAATCATGACATAAATTTATCTTGTATTTCCACTGATGATGGTAAAGTCACAGTTTTTTGGTTTTCATTTTTGATTGAAAGAAGGGCTGAATTTCAGTCAAAAGTTACTAAAAATAACTATGCAATTTTCCTCCATTCAAGTTTATACATCCTTCCCACTTAAAATTATATCCTTAGACCTCATGGAGACCCCATGGATAATTCTTCTTTTAGTTCATGCAATATTAATGGAACACTACATTTAACAAACTATGGTTGCAGCACACCTGTAGGACCAGTCCTTGACCCCAAGTCACTCAATAAACAACAGGAAAACTATGATATACAAGGGAGACACTGAGATGTGCCATAACAGAACAGAAGAAACCTGGAAATAAGGCACCACAATATAACACAAAACAATACACACAATCACAAATGCAATAAAGTAATATTTGCACTGGATTCTAAGGATAAGTCAGATTTTGAAAAAGGGAGGTTGTGGGAGTGAGGGAAAAAATACCCAAATGTCTCAGAGAAACCAATATATGTGATTGCCCAGAGGAGACAGGGATGCAGAAGCAAACATGCAGGACTATACAATGAGGTCTATAGAGTGGGCAGAAGCTAGGAAAGTGGAAGGTCTTGAAAACTATGCTAGGAAGCTGGGCCTTAATCCTGTCCAGTGGTCAGCAAGCCTGAGGTGCTGAGCAGGGTGGGCAAAATCAGAACAGAGCTTTTTGGAAGAAACCACATAGGGAGGAAACTGGGGAAAGAGGTGAGATTCCAGAGAAACATTCCACAGATTAGGAGTTATCTTTAATTCACAATATTAGAATGCATTCTCAAAAGAAATAAGCAAGTGGGCCTCCCCTGGTGGCGCAGGCAGTGAGCAAAGCACTGTGAAACACTGTGGTTTGATCCCGGCCGGCGAGAATCCCACATTGTGCGGCAGACCTCTCCTATCTTACCCACTGCTCCCCTCAGCAATGTATTTCAGTCAGGCTGCCTGTTCTGCTCCACGCTCTGTCTCTGGTGAATCCTCTCACCCTCCTGCACATCTGGCCTGTACCCTGCCTGGTTCTTGTATGCACAAATAAATAAATCTTAAAAAAAAGGAAATAAGCCAGTGTCTTCTTAAGATCATATAGACCACGGGATATGTCAATCTAGCATCTTCAAGTCCTAGCTCATAGGTCCAAATATTTAATTTGACCATTTGTTTAAAAAAAAATCTTTCTTAAATCAATCCGTAGGGAAAGGCCTGCCTGGATTATGAATAGGCATGCCAGAGAGGCTAGTATTATACACACTTTCTCCCTATTAGATAGAACTTCACCGTCAGAACAAGCGCTCTCCTAAAATGTGAAGACATCCAGCTGAAACTGAACTGGAATCTGCTCAGGGTTTCTGCCATTCCACTGTTGCTGCTTCTCTAGGGATAGCAACCTGGGGCTTCCTGAATTTCACTGTGGAGAAAAAAATAATCTTAGGTTTAAAAAAAATTAGAAAGCAAACACAAAGGGACTTCTATTCTTGCCACCACTTAACTCAGAAGAAAATGTGAGTCATTAAGGGCAAGGTCATGGGTCTGTGCTCTCCTGTTTTCTGTAGGGGAAGTAGTGGGAGTAAGGGTAATAACATAACTGGGGCCTGAAGGTACGAGGTAAGGCAGGATTCGTAACCCAAGAAGATTCCTTGTTTGACAATTGAGTTCACCTGAGACCCAAGCGTGTGAAAAATGAAGCAGACCCAGACCCACTGACATACAGGGGGTCACTGAATGCTTACTCCTTGTGGGTACACACTGCCTTCCTTTGGGAGGTGGCCTTTGCAATCTCAATGAGCAGAGGGTAGTCTAATTTGGTCAAGAATATAAAAATAAAGCCTCCAAAGTGAGCAAAACGCTCCCAGGTAGCCTCTCAGCTTGGCAGAAGTGGAGTAACTGGCCTGTAATGGGGTAGCATTTTAATATATAGTCTTCAATGGCAAACTAAGTCCCTGCCTATGCCTGTCACTAAGGATCTAGGCATAACCTGAGGTCAAAGACTGTCTCTGGAGAACAACAACAAAAGTCTGGGTGTGGTGGTAGGGGGCGTCACCCTCTGACATACACTAGCCCTCACACCCCAAGAACAATAGAGCCACAGTTATTTATTGAACACAGACTTCCCGCACCAGGCCCTTCACTGGACACTAACAAGGCCATCTCAGTGGTCTAATGCCCAAAGTCTTCCAACAAACTGGATGGAGTCTATCCTGTGTCCCCACTTGGTAGGCCTGAGAAACAAAAACAACCAGGCCAGAAGCTACTTGGCTGCAGCAATTGGGAAACATTAGTCTATGGATCTGACCAGCTTCAAATAGGGAACCTCTTTCCCTAGAGAAGAACATACAGGTAAGAAGTAGCCAGGGCACAGTGAGGATCACTTTTTCCCCCTCACTTGCCCCTTATGAGAAGGTTCTTTCCTGAAAAGGCATTTGAAGGCAACAGAGGAAAAAGCAGAGAGTAATCACAAGTAGCCTGCCTAAAGCATGGGATGCAAAATTAAGCCAGAGAGGATTGGCATTATGAGTCCCACTTAATGGATAAGGAAACTGAAGTGCATAGAAGCAGATGACAAAGGGATGGAAATAAACACTGTACACTGACTATGT